CCCTATAGGGCGAATCAGTGGTGCCATGTGATGCTGAGGGTTACCAATCAGTTTTGAAGCAAAATTAGCATTGCTGAAAGGTGAGAGAGGGTCTGAGAGCCTCGGAGAGGTGTTCTGAATCATTGCTCCATGGCAAGGACAGATAAAAGAGATGGATGGGCTTATTGGTGGTGCCTGTTCAGAGCCCAGCTTCAGCAGCCCTGGAAGCATCAAGATGTTAACTAAAGGGAAAAAAACAAACCCATTTGGGTCAGATGCTTGATTATAACTGGTTGTATGAGAAAGAAAAGTGGCTGCATAAAACTGGAATTGTAAGATATAATTGGAGATGCTCGTGGTCTTTAACGACTGTAAAAACCACTAGTGAAGAAGCTCACTACAGAAAGCTGGGGTGGAACAAAGCAAACACATCTCAGTTGGAGAATTGGCCTGTGATTACCCAGCCACTTAATCCAGCAAAAATCTAATTGCTGGGGAAGGAGGTAGTTGTGCTCACCCCAGCTCCTTCCTCCTGTCATGTGGCTTGTGTGTTCCTGTGGCTCCTTGGCTGAAAACCAAAATCGGTGTTTCTTGTTTGCTTGTTTTCCCCCCCCCCCCTTGGCTCAGCTCATGCCCAGAAATGCTCCTGTTGGCATGAGGGCAGGTGAGCACAAGGGGCGATATGGCATCTCCCTGACCTCACTGTTGGCTTCAGTGAATGTTACCCGAGTCCTTGGAGTTATTTCAGCTCCTGTATCCCATGCTAGATTGCTATTACTCCCACCTGTGTCAGGCAAGAAAAGCCCTGTTGCCAAGGAAATATTACGCAATTATGGATGAGGTATAAAGCATCTAGTTTTAGAGATCTAGATAACACACACACACAAAAAAGTGAAGAATTTGGAGGAGTGTCATGGCCATAGATACGGATGTTTTGTGCAACACACCTGGCACCATTTGCATGAAGTTTTGTGCTAAACTCTTTGTCAGCCTCGGTTACTTTGCCAAAGGAAGGAGAATTGGAGGAATGAAGGGCTGCTGTTTTTGTGGTGAGAGCCTCGTGCAGAGGGCAGGGCTTGTGACAAACCCACAGAGCTCCTGTATGTTAGAGCAGTTTTTGGTGTCTGATTGCTGTGGTTTTTGAAACCACATTCCTTGCTGGATGAGGAGCTGTGTGCTTTGTAGACCAGCCGCAACCACCCCGCTGTTCCGCCCTGTTCAGCTTGAGGTAATTTGGCGGGTGCTGTAAGGTCACGGCGTTACCTCCTGCTTGCTGTGGTTCGAGTCTCGCACAGCAGTGAGTGCTGCAGCATAGCTGCTGGGTGGTAACCTGCTGCAACATGACATCTGCAGCTGTGCCCGCAGCCCTAGGAGAGGGAAACAAAGCGGGGCCTGACTTCCCGTTTTAGTTTTACAGCTAGCTGGTGTCCTTAAAAATATATCCAAAGTGCTGCCTTCAGCCCTCCTTTTCCTGTGCCCCAGAAAGATGGGTAATGGCTAATTAATTGAGTACTCCTGCAGCCGTTCTCCATACTCAAATTTTGTTGTTGTTAAGGGTGATAATGCCCCCAGGCCTGCATGGTTTGGTTGATAAGGCCACCTTTTCTCTATTTGGTATATTTAAAGCATCGGTTTCCCATGAGCCTACTGCTGTTGTGCATTTGCACAGCAGCAGACACTGATTTTGGTGGCTGTATCAGATGAGAGAGCATAGCAGATTGTGACAACCAGTCAGGGAAGCCTGAGTGAAGCTGATTGCCAGTTGTTCAGGTGTGGTGTGTCTGGGTGCAGGGAGGCTTCAGTTGAGATCATGCTGAGGCTTAAGCCTGGTCCAGTACAGCTGGTGGGCCTGCAGCCACTGTAACGATGACCAAAGGTACTAACAAAGCTGTGCTGCTGTGAGTTGGCTCTTGCCATCTGGTCCGCCTGTGATTTAGGCATATGCAGAGTCCTGCAGGCTTACTTAGTGTGTAAATAAGACAAAAATAAGGGGCTTTTCTTTGTCAGTAGCTGGTCAAAAGGCCTTTTGAATGCTGGACATATAGTCTACTATGTTCATCCACTGAAACCATGAGACCTTTCAGTGACAGCTTCAAAGCTTGTGAGAGTCCCAGGTGAGACTGGGAGGGGGAGGTGGAGAGGAGCTACCGAAGCTCTGGTGCTGTATCTGCCTAGCATGTGTGGGTCTGACTTTATTGTGGCATCTGTGGTTTACATCTGGTTTAAAGCTGCTTTTTTAAAAATTAGAAAGTATATGTATATATTTAAATTTGAAGCCACCCTTGTGCCTTGCCTTTCTGTGTTGTGCTGCCTTTCTGGGGAGAGGCCACGCAGGGTCTGTGTCCTGTTAAAGACTCTTACATGAGAAACAGATTATGTCTCTTCTTTGCTAGCATCCCTCCAAAGACTTTGTAGGGAAGTCTGCTTCCTTTGAATCTTCTTTCCCCATGCAGGATCCACCCAGCCAAAAACAATAAAATATAAAATTGGAAAGAGAAAAAATAGGGAGCTTTTATGATTTTGGTCTTTTGCTGCCATATGTGTGTTGGCTGCACAACTTGAAACTCCTCAAATGCGCTTTTTCCACTCCATCAAATCCATTCAAATACATTATTCTTTAAATTGCAGCAGAGGATAACCCACAGACAATTGTGACAACCCTGTATGAGAATGCTCTCCTCATAGCACAGCATGGGTTGGGAGGGACCTTAAAGATCATTTAGCTCCAATCCCCTGCCCTGCTTCCTGTCTCCAATCACCTCCTCATCTCATGTGTATGTTGATACAGGAGGATCTGCCCTGTGATCTTCCCAGGCACTGGTGTCAGGCTCACCGGCCTGTAGTTCCCTCGGTCCTTCTTTCTCCTTTTCTTAAAAATGGGAGCGATGTTTCCATTTCTCCAGTCACTGGGGACTTTACCTGACACGCGTGACTTTTCAAATATGATCGAAAATGGCTTGGCAACCACATTAGACAGTTCCCAATTCCGTCAGGACCTTGGGATACCTGTCTTCAGGCCCTATAGATTGTACACAGTCAGCCTCATGAAGGGGTCTCCCTGTTACAGTGGGAGGGATTTTGCTCCCCCAACCCCTGCCTAGAGGTTCAGGGCCATGAGAGACGTGGGAAGCCTGAGAACTTGAATACCTCACCCTTCTCCACATCTGTTGTTCTGTTCTTGCCACTTCTCCCTTCTCATTTATCCTCAAGCAGCAGATGTGGTGTCATTTTAAAATTTTGTTTCACAGAAGCTTTCTGTGGTACACATGTGAGTTTGTGCTGTAGGGTTTGAGTAATGGTAATCCCTGCCCCAGACCTAGAACAGTGACTTTTGCATGAGGAAGGGGAGTTTCTTGTAAGATCTCCACTATGTAGAGCACAGAAGGCAGTGGGCTGAGTAAACCCAGAGCCAAAGCAGAGGTGTGTGAAAAAAAATAGCTATGAAATTAGGCTGTGCTGCTCTATGGTCAAGGCATTGGTACTGGGATGCTGCAGGGCAGCTGCTGGGAGAAGATGTGGCCTGTCATTGATGCTGGCAGCCCCTCTGTGAAAGCATGTTTAAGGGCAAAAAAGCTGGAGAGGACTGTAGGAGGAGTCAAAAAAAAAAAGTGAGTGTCACGGTTTGGCCTGGCTCAGCCTAGTTCTGTGACAAGGGGTGAGGAACAGCACTATGAACCCTGAAGTCAGTGAAGGAGGAGGGGATGTCGGATGAGGACCTCTTCCCTGCCAGGACCTGTGGCGGGAGGTCGTGACAGGAGCCTGAGCAGGAGCCCATGCAGCACCCGCTCAGGAGCTGTCACTGTTGTGGTGACATGATAGAAACAACGGCTGGTTTGGCTGGCCGTAAGGGTGAGCCTTCTGCACCCACCAGTACTCAGCACAGGGCTGTTACATCAACAACTTTGGTTTTAAAAGAAACAGGAAGCGCATTGGATTTTATTCTGGATCAGATGGGGACCTTTGGCAGAGCAGTGAAATGGACTGGAACAGAAGCAAATGGCATACCTTTCTGTTGGAGCAGTGCGACTGCCTGCTCTCCCTCTGCTCGGAAGAAAACGGCGGGTTTTTGTGTTGGCAAACCTGTGTTGCTGAGGCTGTGCCCTTTCTTGTCCCTGCTTTTCCTCTCTTCTTTGTCCTGTGAGGAGGGCTGGGATTGGGGTTGTGTATGCTGCTCAGACAGACAGAAACCCAGGAACGCATTGTGAAGCTGTAGCAGTGAGTCAGGGCAGGGCAGGTGTATACTGGTGGAAGGGAAGGCTTAGGATCTGCATGTGTAGAAGTTCAGATTCTTACAAAGGCTTGGCAGTGGTTTCCGTTGCTTTTGTGTGGGGTATCCATAGTTTTAATCCTGTTCACTTAGGCTGAAACTTACTTGAGGGGAACATGTGTTCTTGTGTAGCATTGAGCGGCGGCCAAGCATCTTTCATTTAGCAGTTCAGTTCCAGTGAGGGATTCCTGTGCTGGTGCCATAGCTGTTGTAGGAAAACGTGGCTTGAATATTATGTGAGGTTTTTGGTATTGAAGTTATTTCAGAGTTGCATTGTTTCCAGGAAAGGGCCCATCCTGGCTTTTCTTTGAATGCCTGCCTGAAGAGACGGAACTCCTTGGGAGTGCATTGTCAGTTCCTGGCAGATGAAGCTGGTGAGGATGACAGTGACATGTGCAGGGACACTTCCCTGCAATTTCCTCTTTTCTTCTCTGTCATGTACTCTGACGCACTGGGAGTCCTAGCAGTTTGCAAGACCAATATGTGATTTATGGTATTCTGTGTGTACTTTGGGGTAACTTTATTGATGCAAAAAGCTTATCTGTAATCATTAAATCTTTGGTCACTTAAATCAGGCTTAAGTTGCTTTGAACTTTGTATAGTTTAAGAGCAAAACCTTAAGAGCAAAAGTCTCACTGAAATCAGTGGCATTACTGTCACTGGAATAGGACTTGACTTGTGTTGCATTAGCAAATATGCCTTATGAAAAAATTTTGTTCTCCTAATTGTGCTCCTTTGCAATTTTTCCCTCAAGTCTTGTGAAGAAAACAATCTGAAGACAATGTGTCTTTGACCCCTGGTACCAGCTTTTGAGCCGGAGCAATGGAAGTTATAGATGGCTGCCGGCATACTGACCCTTTGATAGTTGCAAATGGATATGCAAACAGGATTTTCCAAGCAAACATGGAGGATAGGAGTGCTGATTCATCGGAGGTCTGCTGTGCTGAGCATGGCACCTGCAGTGATGCAGTCCCAAATGAGCAGGAAGAAGCACCCAGATATAAGAAGTTGACCAAGGGCAACCGGATCTGGAATTTTGTTTGGCGAAGGAAAGGATCCTCTATGAATAAAAGAAGACCCCGGTCCATGATCGTACTGGGAGATACTTATGATGCCTCCGATGAAAAAAAGCCATCCTTCATGGACAGGGTAATGCCCTTAAAAAAGCTAAGAACCTCTAAGTTGCCTAAGGATGTAGATTTCAGAGGATCTGCAGTGCAAGTTACTTGTGTCCCTGAGGAGGACTATCCTGCTGGTGGGCAAGGAGCAGTCTACAGGGTTAAGAAACTGGGTGAGAGCCAGAGGCCCTACCGCCATTCATATGGGGGGCACATTGAAGATTTAGATTCCTCTTTCGAAGACATCGAGCTGAATATCAGCATTCCTGAAATTGACGCCAATGAAAGTAAATGTCTCAGGGATATTAGTATCAGACTACACAGTGAAGATAATGTTAGTAACTGCCAAAAAATACCAGCTAGAAAGAGCGAGTCTTTGAATTTTGAAAACTTTAAGAGTCCTGCAATTACAGAAGGGGACAATCAAAAGAAATGTACTGTGCTCCCACAGGAGGGCAAAAGAGGAAGAAGCTCTGATGTCTGGAGCTATCTGAAAGGAATTTCATTAACTAGCAAAGATAATTCAAAGCTTCTAGATGAAAGGGCTGAAAGCAATTTCCAGAACTTAGAAAATATAACTGACCATTCCACTCCTTATTTGGACTTCGGTATGAGATGTGAGGAGAATCTTAGCCAGCAGAAAAAATCAAACAGCGCAACCAAAGCCACTCACTTTGCAGGTTTTGTGCGGTTCTTCACCAGCGTGGCCGAGGCAGCACGGCGGCTGCGAGGCTCCTCAAAGGCATTTTCACCTGATGAGAAAAGGCCTCAGCGGAGTTCCCGAAGCTGGAGGCAGGATGTCATCTCCCGCAAAGTGAGCCTGGTTATTGAGAATGAGACCGCGAATGCTTTCTGCACGGTGGGAGCATGTCTGCAGTCCCCAGATTCAGGCGTGTGGGATAATCCAAGCTTTGAGAGTTCAGTGGGGAAGGAGACCACACAGGGCTGTAAAACTACAGAGCTGTCACAAGACATCGGCTTCTCCGCCCTGGGCAGCAAGAATGATAGTTTTAATGAAATACCACTTTCTTCCTCTGGGCCAGAGCTCCCAGATGACTCTGTCACTGTGATAAATTCCGAAGAGCCCTCTGAGGCTGCAGTCCACTTTCCACAGACAACTCTGACCAAACTGATTCAGGATGTGGACAGTACTCCAGAGAAGGCACAGGCTGTGGGCAGGGACCTGCCATGTTTGGAAGATCTTCCTGGGAAAAATCTGGGTACTTCTGAACTGGGCGGTTCTCCGGCTGCTAACGGTGACTTTCCTGTTGTGACGGTGGCTCTGATCCACCATCCACTAAAGATGACTCTGCATGAACTCGAACCTCAGGATGTGGCTTGTGCTTCAGTAGTTACTAACGACATGAGTATGTCTCTAGCAGCAGCTCTGGAGCTTTCAAAGACTGAACTGGATATGACGCACCTGAGAAATCCTGAGTTGCCTTTACATGATTTATCTAGAGATGACCTGGAGTTTCAGGACTCAAGCAATGCTCCAGAGAAGGAACAGGTCGTAGGCGGGGACCTGCCACGTTCTCAACATCTTCCAGAGAAAAATCTGGATACTGCAGTGCTGAACAGTTCTCCAGCTGCTAACGGTGACTTTTCTGCAGCAACTTCTTTAAAATGTGCAACAGTTGAAGGGGTGGTGTTTGAGCAGACTGATGGATGCTTCAAAAAGCACAGAACAAGTTCACCTGTGGAACAGAACCCTGTGGAGTTACTTGGCAGAGGAGTGCGCTTTGACTGTGATGATGAGTGCCGTCCGTTCCACGTGACCATCTCTAGAATTGTCTCCTCTGGACTACTTAACAACGGAAAGGTATGAGTAAGCTTTACTGTGTAACTTCCAATAAGACTGCACTGTTGTTATACCTCTTATAAAGATGGTTTGCACTTGAAATCATTTTTATATATTCTTCTCTGGAATTTTTACTTAATTATACAAAGAATGGCCTCGTAGCAGTCTACGAGGAACCAGTTGACTGGCATGGCCCTGAGCTGTTACTGCAGATTTTCGGAGTGCTCCTCTTATGACCTTTTGGCTATGCCATTATCAGTGCCTTTAGAAGAGGGCTGTAACAGAGATTCTTGTATTTCTATGCTCTAACTCTAATTGTTTTTCCTCTCTGCATTTAGCAGTAGTGGCGATGGCAGTTGATTTTTATTAGGTGATGCTGGTTACACCACAGCATCTGGAACACCAGGAAGATTCCTGGCACACAATCCTAGCCCAAAATGGAAGATGGGAAATGGTGGTTATGAAAATTACAAATCCGTATTGCCCAGCATGAAGACCAGCTGTTTTCTTTTGGGTTCCTGTTGGCTAAAGCTGAAATGATGACTTTTATTTTTAAGGTGCCCAATAGGGAAATTGGGTCAACTCATGGAGAAACTTTTGCCTGTCCTTTTGGGCTTTGAGAGATGACACATTATGGGGTGATGACTTTGTTCCCTACTGGAAAAGGGGTCACCAACTTCTGAGCCAAGAGGGGAAGTGTTTGAAAATTGGCAGCAGATTACAAATACTGAGAAGAAAAAAGTCTGAACTTCTGACTCCCAGTTAAAATGGGCAGTACCGTTGTTAGTTATTCCTGCTTTTTTTTTTCCCCTCCATTTTTGTTATTCAAAAATATGAAGACAGTTCACTGTGTAATTCCAGGGAGTTACGAAGTGGGACAAGTAGTGGTTAGCCACTTGTGTTCTACTGGACAAAATGTTTTTAGGAGTGGCTTGAATGAGCAGACTGTGGTTTGATATGCTTTTGCAGGGACTAAGCTGTAAGTATGCTGAGCAGCAGCAAGATAACAGAGGCATGAAAGGACTGAGTGGAGCAAGGGAAGTATTGGCAGTCTTTTCCCAGAGCAGCTGCATTTTTGGTAGCTGAGGGCTATGGCTGTGTGTCTAATCGCAGAGTTCTTGCAACCCTGCCCATGGCAGAGGAGCTGAAAGGAGATGATCTTTAAGGCCCCTTCCAACCTAATCCATTCTCTCATTCTTTGAAGGCAAAATGTGAGCAATTTCCAAGGTCAGCTGTGTGAACAGAGGTGGGGTGAGTCCCACCTCAGATGTTGCAGCTTACAGACTTTACAGAGAAACTTAAAGATGGTACTTAAGATAACTGGACAGGGAACCTTCCCCGAGTTCCTGTTGAGGGTGGTGATAGCAGTACGACCTCTGGATTATGGTGGCTCCCAGCCTCACAGGTTCATGCCTGCCACCTCACAGAAGCAATGGCAAGCTGGAAGGGAAAGCACGCAGCCCACCCTGATTTGTAAACACCTCTGGATCCCAGAAACTTGGTCTAGAGATGCGCAGTGATCTAAGGGCAGCACCAAGTCCTGTGGAAAGGAAGGAAACTTGGATGAGAATGGACTTAGTGAGTCCATTGGCAGCTCAGTTAACAAATGTCCTGAGATACCCAAGGGATTTACTTGCCTATCTCTCATCAGGGAGTGGCACTCGGAAACAGTTTACCAAAAATAAACACATAAGAGGAATAACTTCAGCCCGAGCATGACACTAGCAGCAAACTCAGGCCTCTCATTGTTTTAGGGCTGGATTTACCTCCTTTCTGGCATCTGTTCCTTGGGACAGTTGTTGGAGCTGTGTGCTCCAGGCTGCTCTGCAGTAACTGAGGGATTTGGATTTCAAGTGAAATGCTTCACCAAAAGTAGGGTGCTTGCAGGACAGGCTGCTGTAAGCAAGTACTCCTGCAGCCTTTGAAGTGCATTAGCTGTGTGAAACAAAAATAGCTTCAGCAACTGTTTTCAAAACAACCTACATGTTTTCCCACAAAAGCAGAAAAATGCTTGTTCTCACTGAGACTCCCTGCCCCAGCCTGCTAGGAGATCAAGGATGATGTAGTGCAGGGAGGTGGAGTGAGATGTGGGGGACCTGGGCATTGGTCCTAGTTAGACAGCAAGTCTTCCGCTTAGCTGTGCTCTTCTAAAGCTAACACCTCCATTTCTTGTTCTCCTTACCTTGCCTTTTAAAATTTCGTGTTTTCCATCAGCAGCTTACTGACAGTGCGGGCAAGTAACAGCTCAACAGTGTTTGATCTTACTGCTGTACAGAAAACAGCACTGCAACAACATTTAGTAAGAAGAGGAGTGGGTAGAAAACTGCTTACTTCTCAAACTGTTCCCCTGCCTAGATGCTTTTGGGTCCCATCCCAAATTCTCATTTGTTCAGGGAACTAATGATCAGCATAAATAAAAATATTTTGATGGATTATAAGAACAGTAGCAATCCAAAATGAGTCGTCAGTGGCAAATGAATTACCCATTAACACTGCTGCAAGTTGGGAATTGAAAGGCCTTCCTTATTTTCAGATAGGGATATGAGAAAGGAGCTCAAAGATGACGTAGAGTTTCTCTGAGATTTTGATCAACTGATGGCCTTCACTTGCAAACCATAGAAGTTTCTCTTTTCCATGGAATCAGGCACAGCCCCACAAGCTGAATTTGGCCACTTCCAGGAGCTTGAGTTGATGCTGCATTGGGAGGAAGCTGTGAAATCACACCGGCTACCCTGCAGCTAGGCATTGCCACCAGCGTTTCAAACCACCCCATGTGTACTTGGACAGAGTTTGTGGGGGTTTGATGCTTACTTGGAGCACGGCATGAGAAACGCTTGCAAAATACACCTGTGACAGACTATCTCAGACTTCAGTTTCCAGTTTGTAGAAACTCAAAGTTTCTCAAAAACTTGATTTAGGCTCATTGCTGTCTGAGATCTTCTTGGTCACCTCGGGGTTTGCACAGATGTTCAGCAGGGATGGAGCACTGTGGTGCAGCTCCAATGCAATTTGGCTTCTGCAGTTAAAATGCAGTTCAGGTGCAGAATTTTTCACTGCAGTCTTGTTCTGCCCTCTGCTGGCTATTTGTGAAATAAGGATTTATTTTAAGGAAAAGAATGCTTTATCTGTAGGATTTTGAATTTTATCTGTAAGTGGTTTATAATCTGCATCTTGCTGCTGTCTAGTTTTTTTACCCACACATAGAAACGAGTTGTGATGCCATTTTCTGGGGGAATTACAATTGCCAGAAGCTTGAAAATGAGTTCTCTCCAGTCTTGTGTGCCTGGACAGAAAGTGCCTGCTTTGCAGGATAAGCTGCCAGGCTGGTTGATGGATCCTGCAGGTCTCCCAGCTAGTCTGCTGTTTCTCTCTCAGATCATCCACACTTGTCAGCCTCACAGCACACGAGGGGGAGTGTTTCCTTTGGGCAGCTGTGCCCCATACATACGGGGCAAACTGTTCTGGGTGCCATTCAGGTGCTCACTGCTCAGAGTGTGCAGATGCTGACAGTGCCCCTGATGATGATCAGTGCTTTTACAGCATTACTGGGGCTTGTGATTTCTGTGCACACTGTGCTGCGTACGTGGGAAAACTGGAGGCTCATCCTGTGTGGTGGGTCTGACTGGAAGCACCGGATTGCTGATCTACCTGTGTGTGCACGTGCCAGAAGATGCACCGGCTGATGTGCCTTCTGATAGCTGGGGCACTGGAGATCTCAGATCCTCCCACAGGTTTGGAGTTCTGCTTTAGAGCAGCTGCTGCAAATGTCTTTTCATGAGAGGAAGATGGAACAACTTTCTTTCTCTCTGTTTGATGAGAAACTGCAAGCAGTTTGCAACAGGATCCTGTGGTGACCTTTAGCTTGAGATTGTTTGATTGTCTCTCTGCCACAGAACGTGTTGGGAGCTGCTGCAGGAGCGTGGCTGCCGAGCTGCTTCCCCCTCCTTGCTCTGTTCAGTGGTACTAACCAGAAAAAGTGCATTTCTGAGAGCTGATCTTCAGAGCTTTAGCTGGTTGTTGCCAGTTGGCTGGGTTGTCTCCACCTATTGCGCTTATGAAGGAAGCACAAGTGAAGAAATACTGCTTTACTTTCTAAGTCCTCCTGCTGCCTAAGGAGCACTGTATTTCTGTCTGTAGCGAGGTATGATTTAGTTACAGAATGAAGATCCTGTATATTTATGGCATTTAATACAGTTATGTCTGACAATCATCTTATTTTTAGAAGAGACAAAACCTCTAAGCTGTTCACATTTTCTTAATAACTGTGAAGTGTATCAAAATCTTGAATTAAATCCTACATTTAGTGCTATGTATACTGGGATAGCTTTCTTTTTTTTTTCTTTGGAAACATTTTTAGCATTGTGAGGGAAAGGCAGTTTGCATCTGCTGGGCTGGTAGGCTTTCTGTGTATGTATAACCAGCCACCTGGGGATTTCAGATTTCCACTTTTTTCTGAAATGCTTGTGGAGCCTTCTCTAGTTCACAGCCTTGACTTCTCCTACCTCCCTTATTGCCATCAGAGCAGTGATATGAACAGGGACTTGTAGGTTCTCCTGGCCTCTGTGCTGGACCTCTCTGCCCAGGAGGTTTGCTTTGTTTTTTTCCTCCTCCCACTTGTTTCCCAATTAAGGGGAGTGTGCTGGAGCACTGGACATGGTACAGAGAATGGGCCATGGAGCCCTACTTCATCCACAGCCTCCCTCTGTGACTTCGGGGTAATTGTAGCCTGTCTGCTTTGTTCTTCATTTGTAAATAAAGATAAGTGCATCAGTGAAAGCTGAGGGTGCTTGAGGACTTAAACCATCAGAGACACCCATTTATTAGCAGGGCCATGGAAGTGTGAAAAATCTGTCTCAAACTGAGGCTAAAAGCCTTCCAGTGAAGAGCCCTCCTCTTTTCTTCTCCTGACCTTTCTAAACTGAATTTTCTGCTGATGTCTTAGCTCCAGGATTATACACAAGGCTTCCACATCGTCTGCGTCACAGAGAAGAAAATGAAAAGCAGGGTTTTGAACCATGATTTTCAGAAAGATAAATCCATTCCACAGTTCTTGCTGTTGTCTCTATTGAGATAATTTCCTCCTGAAAGAGGAGGATAAAAGTTGGGTTTACTCAGGAGCAAGAGAAGCACCAACCTTTTTTCTCCATTTAGCTATAAATGATAGTTTCTCATTGAATTAATGTTATCTTAGGATATACCTGGGGACATTTGACTGCTTTAAAGGTGCTTCAATCAATTGCCAGTGTCATAGTGTTTTAAGCAATAATTCCTAGGCTATTGATATAGAGGGCTTGTCTTGTTCACAGTTGTTATCAATCACCTTCCAGAGAAACTATTACTACCAAAGCCATTCAATGCCATCTATATGTGAAGCCCTTTCTCTCTCTAGAAGGCTCCCTGTACCCTCCCGATGACTCCAGCAGCACAGCAATAACAGCATTGCTGTTAGGTTTATTCACCTCCTGTCCTCTTCGTAGACCATCTGTGGGCTTCTGTTTATGGAATTGGAAAAAGACCTTATGTGACCTTTGGAAGTGCCTGGAAGGGAGTGTCTTGCTAAGATTCTTGGGAATTAAGAGAATGACATCCTGTTACTAATTTAATTCACTCTTACATAGATCTTATTAAATCATCAAGACTCTTGAGTTTTGCAGGAATGATTCTTGCTGGGTATCTTGGCTTTATTCTGAAAACTTGAAATGTTTATTTCTATAGTAGAATGGGCAGATCCTGTTGTTCTGCTGGATAGGTGCAGAGATGAGCAGATTGTTCTCCTAACTCTCACTGCTGCATTGTTCTACTTCTGTGTGCTTCAAGTGGACATATTTCTACCACTTCTTTAATGTCTCTTGAGCATGGCTATGCTCATAAATCTGGGGTAGCTGATGGGGTGCAATTAGTTGTTGGCTAAAAATCCAGACAGGAACAGTCTCTCCTTTGCTTTAGGCTACCAAAGGGTGCATCTGCTAATTCAGTTCAGGAGTGCCAGTTGAAGCAGATCTTTCAGCTGTCTGTCCACAGTATGCTTTGGATGCACTAATTGGCCTTAATGACCCTGAGCACCCTTAAGTAGTGAAGTCTACACTCATTATCCCAAGAGTTCATTTTAATTCAGCTCTGGGTGCTCAGTTCCTGAAGACTGACATTCCTGCAGACTTGGGGCCCTCAGCACCAGCTTAATTCACTCCCTGCTTGTGCTCCTGCTGGGGCTTGGTGACACTGGTGTGGACAAAATGCTGTGCAGAACACAAATGTCTTCGCCACGTTACCCTAGAAAGTGCCATGGAGACTCAGTGCCACCAGAAGTTGATGGGACTTGAGCACCATGACCTGTGCTCACGTTAGGGACCCCCATACAGGGAGAATTAGAGCATGCCAGAAACAGAGTCAGCAAAACTTTGTCTTTCAGCAAAAAATAAAAAGAAGAGGGTGCAGATAGCAGTGCGAAGCCATAAGGTGTCCGTACCTTGGGGGCTGGGGGTGGGGGGGAATGTTCTTTGTCCCATGTTTAACGTGCATTGCTAAATTTCTTTTCTGACCCTTTGCTTTCCAGACAATGTCTCATCCTTCTCAACCATCCCCACGAGCACCTCCCTTCAAGGTGCTTGTAGAGAGATGTCGCTCCGAGCCGCTCTCCCAGAGCACCCCGATGGGGCTGGACCAAGTGGGTGGGCGCATGCAGCACCTGCTCAGAAGACGCGGTGAGTAGCTTTGCAGTGGTTATCCCCCGAAATCTTTGTCTTTTGGTCTTCCTAATGTGGGCTGAGAAATCACAGCTGTGGCTTGTATCTGCTCTTGTTATAACCCTGGAACCGGGTGAGGAGAGTCCGATAGCCAGATGCTAAAGAGTTTCTTTTTTTCTTGTAACTTTAGTGTCTCTGAATGCAATCCCTGTAATTTGGTTGTGAGAAGATGAACAGATAGGTGCACAAAGAGTAAAAGCTGTTCAGCAACGTTTGTGGGAGTTGTAATTTGGTAGTTTCCTCTTGGCTTTCTGTTGTCTTACCTGTTTTTGTTGTGAGTACTTGGCATTTGGAGGTGTTGAGTGATGGATTCTGAGATCATAACTCAGCTCTAATGTTTGTTTGGAAAAGAACAAGATGTGAGTTGTTTTTTCTGGGTGCTCTTCCTGAACAGATAGAGAACCCTGTGAGTCAAAGACTGTGGTGAGCTATCCTCTGCAGCACTTGATTAATGTAATTATAATTTGCCCTGCTCAAAATGATGCTGGAGAAAGCAGGACTGAACGTATGTGCTGGAAGGGTCTTGTGTGGGCAGGTAAATAAGCAGATGCTTGAACGGACAACGTGACTTTGTGAACCTTTAATTAAAAAGATTGATAATTGCTATAAGAAAATCATTTCTTGGAGGGGTAGCACTAGCACTGAGAATGCCTTGAATTAGCAAGTATGGGAATGCTGCCAGACTGCATTGGCATTGCTTGGGAGCACACTGGGGATCTGAGCAGTTAATGGATGGCGGCAGCACGTTAAGGATTAAGAAGAATCAGAAGGGAAAAGGCATAGCAGCTGCCTCTTTAATTGATGGCTCTTCTGTAGGGGTGCACACGCTTTTAGCACAGACATCTCTCAAAATGTGAGCACTACTGCGTTTGCACATTGCTCCTGAGTGCTACTATATTGGCACATTTCCTCTGGAGCCTGGTAGCAGCCTCTTGCTATAATCGGCACTTGCGCTGCAGCTTGATTTTCTGAGAGTCTAGAAAGTGAAATGCTAAAAATAACAGCAGGGTGCCTACGTCAGCAGTGCGTTTAGGAAATGGGTCTCAGTGCAATCTCTCTCCCAGCAACACTGGAAAAAAATCAGGATTGCTGCCCACCCAGCCATGCCAGGGCTGAGGCAGGTTCCCAGCTCTGCTGTGCTCTGTGCTGCTGTCCTGGGCAGCAGGGAGTCCCCAGCTATTAGATTTGGGAGCAGGAAGCTTGCAGTAAGCAGGCAGGGGCATGTATTTTGGCTATGTAAGTAAGGGTGAACCAAACACCAGGAGCACAGATCCTGGAGTGTGTGTCCCTATCTCCTAAAGGTTAGACCTTTTATCCTTTGTTGTCTGGTTTCAAAGCCCTTGAGACTGACAGTCTGAAACCCAAACAGGGGTTAGAGGTGCACCTGGAAGAAGAAAATTAGGGTTGGTCTTTGTTGTGGAAATGGTAAATCATGGCTTGAAGCAGTGATTGAACACCTGGTGGGAAGGCAGGGCCAACCCAAGGGAGCTCAGGTGCATGCAGTGTATCTGAGTGATCAGAAGGGGTAAAGCCAGGATCCACTCCTTCCCAGACCTCATTTATGGGTTGGCAGTGGAGGTGAGGGTATCTTGTTGGAGATCCCTGCCTACATGAGGCCTTCTGAGGGTCAGCAGTTTTTGTTTTGTTTTTTTTTCCCTTTGATTCTGCATGCACAGCTGCTGCATTGGGGCTTATCCTTATTTGCTGCAGGCTGGGACTTTGCTACCCTGCTGTTACTACTGTGCTTTCCACTGCATTATAGCGTTACAGTCCTATATAGGACAGGAATTCTGGAATGTGTGTTTTCTGTAGGTGCCTTTCTCCATGAAAGGGGTGATAAAGCTCTGTGGGCTGTGAATGCCCCTGGGTGTGTATACACACATAGGCACAAACATCAGTTCCACGTGCTGCCTGAGCCCCTTTTCCCCTCTGAAAGAAGCCCAGGCTGGGGGAAGGGGTTAACATCTAACTTCACTAGCTGTGGGAGGGGAAAACCCAGTCTTGCACAAAATGACAGCTCAATCCCCCTAAAAGAGAGGGATAGTATAAGGAACTTAACATTTGGGGTGATTAAGAAAACAGAGCTTAATTTTGAAAGGTGGATTACCAGCTCTTCCCCCCTTTTGCCTCTTCTTTACAGTCTTGTGCTTGGGTGTGTATGATCTATAAGGCCAAGATGAGAGCTGGTGTGAAAGGAATAACTTAAAGCCAGATCAGAATTGTACTGGCCTGAAATGCTTGGGATGAGAAATACCCGCTGCTTTGAAAAACAGCTTTTGTGGGCTTTCCCATTGTTGTTTTCTACATAAATTTGAGAAGCTGTTTCTTTTTCAAGGAATTGCATCATACAAACTGCAACAGTTATAAGGCTGGGATTTCTGCAGAGGTACCATTAGCAGTTATGACCCAAGGAGCTATTGCACTTTCAGTATGGGTGTATGCAGATGAGGCACTTCTGTTGCCTGGTGCTTCTGGGAGAGCACTCTGGTTTCAAACCCAGCCTGTCTGTCCTCACCTGTTCACACCACCTCTTAGTTTTGGCTCTTGGCTCCTAGTCTGTGCCTGCCTTTTTGTAGTATCCAAGCTGCACTGTTTTACTTGTATCCCAAGAGCACGGAATAAAGCACCTAAATATACTCTCTGCTCTCTTTTTCTAAAGAAGGGGTTGAATGAGTCTCTTGCAAACAATTTTGTTTCTTTCATTTAAAAGAACAGCCTCCGCCCCCAGCCTGAGCTAAAGCACAGCGTTTATCTTTTGTCATTCCTTCTTTTTTTTTTCTTTCCTTCTTTTATTTCTCCGGTGGATTTTAAACTGGCAGCTGAGAACGAACTGGCTTCAAAGACTCTGAAGGTGCGCAGGAACGGCGGACGTAGATGGAACCTCCTCAAGCCTGGAGCTGAGAAGCTGCAAATCAGTAGGGTAAGGCGTTGTTTGAAATATGCCTCTGCATGCTTCAGGGTTGTTGTTTACCTACCACATGTTTAGCCTTGGAAACTAACAACCTGCTGTACTAACGGCTTCCTGAATCTGCGGTTCCTTCAGCCACAGATGAGAGTAATTCTTTTGCTATTAGAATTGTTTTATAGTGATAATAGGTGCGCTAACCTTTCCCATTGGATTAGTTTCCCTCAGACACATAGCAGAGGCTTTGTGGTGTAATGGAGGCACTGGACTCCCATTCCTTTGGTCGAGCGATCCGTGCAAGTGGAGGAACTGTGACGTTTCAAATAGCCTATAGATTTGTTCAGTGGCTTTGATGATGCGCTTCCACCCCACCCCCCATCCCTTTTTTACCATGTGTCCACTGGGTTTGTTAGTGCTACCAGAGCCATCTCTGTGGCAGATTCACATGACTGATTCTTTCCAGAAGAGTTTTGCAAATATAGACACAATCTATTTTGTTCTTTTTTTGTGAATGTTGCTACTAGCTGTTGTGGGCCTTGGGATTTCCCTGTCTTTCTCTGTGAGTTGAAAAAAATAATCAGGAAAGGTAGCAAATAGTTGTTACATCTGTCTGATGTGCTTCCTTGTTTCTGTGTGGGATTGCTTTTAGTCTGTGCCGTGCTGTGCCTTTGAAGTCTGGAGACCTTGGCTGTTCTGTGATCTTGTTTGGCATTTGTATCATTTGTGAGTCTGGCTTCACTGGTAGCCGACATATAAAACTGAATAGTACAAAACACAATAGATTTGCTAGCTGGCGTCTACCATGATGCAAGGAAAGTTTTCTAGTGACTGGACCAAAAGAGGTTTAGCCTTTGTTGTTCCTCTAGGGTAGGCAAACAAAGGATGATCTGGGAGCCAGGAATTTCCCTGCTGGAATTGACAGGAGGAAACTGACGTCCTGTAGTTGTGTCTCTGCGGTTCTTCTCTCCATTACTGTCCTTCCTTGCCAGTCCTTTATTGTATATCTTTTCCCTTTGATACCTGATGAGCTGCCTTCTCGAAATGTGATTTCCAAGGAGGACCCAGCCTTTGTGCATGTTTTTCCACTGTAGAAGCATAGGTAGGTGGTAAGGCAGACTTCTCTGGCCTGCTTGTGTTGACTATTTCTTGGCTTGCAAGAGATACATGCAGGGATAGACCACTTCTATCCCAGTAATTTGTGGCTTTCTGGAATACCTCCAGTTTTCTTCTGATTTTAGTAGGCTGAGATATAAGATAGAGGGCAGTGAACAAGCAGTTCAACCTTTCCTTTTCTCTCACCTCCATTTGGATCCTACCCTGTTTCTCAAAAATAAGTGCTGCTTTCACCTTGAAACAGCTGTTCTAGTTACAGGGATGCTGAACATCTAAGCTTCTGGAAGATAAAATGATCAAAATTCTGTACAGCTGTTTGCTTTCTGGGACAGAATAAAGAAATGCAACAATAATATCCACCTATAGAGGATACAGCAAGGATTGTTACTGCGATGTTACAGCAATGAGACACGCTGCAAGCCCTATCAAAGAATTTCATCAGGTGTGCCACAAATGTTTCCACATTTGGAATCTAGTGTTAACTAGTGCATAGGTATGTCTGCCTAGCAAATCTAACACTTTCTTAATCTGTTCATAGGAGATGGATGTTTTGCAGCCTTTGTAGATATACTTCCAGCTCTGCCCAGAAACCAACACATTATTCTGTTCTGCCATAATATTGCTAGCAAATACACGAAAAATAGAATTGTTTGTGTCCTGAGTCATCTCAAAAAGCCAGACTTGTTTCTGATTGAGAATAGAGCGTGACAGGAGAGCACCCTTACAAAGGCAGCTGAGGATTAAAGCTCCAGCAAACCAGAAATACTGCTGAAGTTTGGGAAATGCTAGCTAGGAAATTTTCTTTCTCCAGTGGAGAAATATACGGAGGATGTGAAACAGAAAAGTTAAATGAGCTCCTTGTGAGCGCAGAGACCTTTATGTGATGCTTGGCTCAGACACAGGTGTGCCAATGACCCGTGTGTCACAGGATTGGTTTGGGGTCCTGAACAAGCTGATCTCTGAGACTTGTTTGGCACTGCCATTAGGCAGCTTGCTGCTCAGCCTGAATTACAGTGAACAAGCAGGTGTGAAACCTGTGCTGGAGTCTATAAATCAGAGTTACTGTGGTGAACACCACCAGAGCAGATATATAAATGTGGCTCACAATAGCAGTGCTGGAAAATTCATCTGCTGCCTCTGCCCCAAGTTGAGTGAAGATGTATGGGTCTGTAAATCATCTGTTTGCCAGAAAGAAATTTCTTCATTGGCAAGATTTATAAATTTGAGATAAAATTTGTGAACTTGGGTATCTCTTGTCAGGTGTGTTCATTGACAGGTGCAGAACTAGTACAGAAAGGAGTGATTTATACTTCCAAACCAGATGTCAGGCTTCCAAAGAAACTGCTTGATTTCTGTCTTGAATGGAAATGCCTGATGTGGATAGAGAGCAAAAGGAAATTGACAAAGCATTAGGCTTGTCTCGGAGGCATCAGTGCCATCTTGGTCCTTGAAGAGATGCGGGTTGTTGTGCAAAAAAGAGTCTTGGCATTGCTACATGTTATGCAAAAATGTAGAGCTGTTGATCATCTTATGAAAGAATTTCTTTCATCAAGACCATTGTCACATCTGGTTTACTGTGTCCATCACTTTGCATCAGGCTGTATCTTGGTGCATCTGTCCAGATGCTGGGGACAGCTGCTGGTAGCAGCCACGCCTTCTCCCTGCTTGGTGGTTTTCTGTTACACCTGGGAGCTGGAAAGAAGAGCAAAATGCAGTTGGAAAAGCAAGTGGTGGTAGCAGGACATGAGAGAAAGATGTGTGTGTAATCCTGTGCTCCACCTCACCTTCGTGCTCAGCATACATACACCAGTGTGTTTTGTTTTGTTTTTTTCTTACTAGTCTCAGCTTTCTTCTGTCAGTCATACCCAAGCTATTTTAATGACTTAACACCAGCAAGTCTGGACACAAGCCTTAGAAATTTCCTATGGGATAGATAAGGTTTATTATCCACACTTAGTGGGTGGGAATGAGGAAGCTGAAGCACCACAGGGTGGTATATGGAGAGCCATGCAATAATTTTTCATTTCTCTCTTAATTTCATGATGGAAAAAAAAGAAAATGGTATCAAACTGCGTTGACTTATTAAAGTTTTTGGTATTTTAAATGCACTTCTCAGCCTGGAGAAAACTCTGTACTGAAATACTTCATATGCAAAGCATTTCATTTTGGCACTATGGTTGCTTGGAGCCTTTACTTTGATGGGAGCAATTTGGTGCAATTAAGAACCTTCAGGTGCCCAAATCTGCAGGCTGTGCTGCAGCAAGAAACTGAAATGCCAAAAGGAACTTCCAAAAGGCTGCACTAGCTCTGACAGGGCCCTTGGCATCTGTCTTACCTCTGTGATTTACCCTCAGGTAGGTCCTGCCAGATGGTACGTGGCTGAGCCCTTTGAGCAATGGACAAGGGAAGAAGTGAGTTACTTTCTCCAACCCCAGAGCTATTCTGGAAGATGTTTTTTATTGGTCAGAATGGGAGATACTCCAGAAGGAGATTCAACCATTCTGGAATCAGAACCATCCACTTAATAAACGTAGGACAGCTTTAGTTTTTAGTCTTTAACTTAGCAACGATGATGGCAAACGTTCATGTTCTCTGGTACCTTCCCCATTTGTGCTGTGTGCTCTTGTACAAAGGACTAAAGCCTCACTGCATGTGCTGAATGAAGGCCACAGCTGAATTACTTAGGATGGAAACTCTGCATTAATGCTAGCATCTTCAACGTACTCTACATTAACAATCAGTAGCTCTGTTGTGCACCGGTGTTGAATGTTTGCAAAACCCCACCAACCCAGCCTGTCCTTGCTCTTCTTCCCAAATCACGAGCTATGTTCAGAAGCTGCTTTGAGCTGCCTTTGCTACCCAAAGCTAATTCCCCACTGGTACATTTGTAAGGAATAGGAATTTCAAGCAAACCGCAGCCTGCAAGAAAGAGGAGTGAAGAGAAAGTTGATTTGGGTTCCCTCGCTCACGCTGTGCTGAGATGAATAGGGAATGCTGGTTGGTATTCTGTACCAGCTCTTCTGCTTGCTATTTTTATCACCTTGCATAATGCTGAGTTTGCATTTTGTTTAGTGGGGTTATTTTTTTTCCTCTTTGAAACGTGTCCTGCACAGTGTTTCTCTTGGCTTGCTACTTTGGTGAGGAAGGGGATGTGGAAGGGATTGTAGACTGCTGCATTCTGATACGTGAGCTGTATGTAATCATAGTCATTTTTTAGCTCTTCTATCCACATGAATAAGCTGATAGGAAAACGTTGTCTTGTGGCTTTCCGGATGCTAATTAATTTAAATATCACCAATATTTAAATTAACATTGATGAGAGTGTTTTATGCACGTGAAGAGGGCTGCCAGAAAAATGCATTTTCTTTTAATCTCTCTTCCTTCATTTTGAACATTTAGCACTTCTGCTGCCTGGGTGCATCTCATCTGTGTGTCTTCTGGGGTTTATTTTATATCTTGATAAACCTATTATACTGCTATTCTTACTAGTGCTTTGAAATCTTTGTATAGTTTTTTCCATTGCTTTCCTCCTCGAGGTCATTCCTAGGCATTTGTTAATGTTTGTGTGCCGTATTATTAAAAAAAAAAAACAAAAAAAAGAAAACAGAAAAGGGGAAAAGAAGACCTGTTCATTCATTGTGGAAACAGCAGTTCAGTCCAAGTTGATTGGTCCCAGTGACCCTGTCGTGGAGCCTTGTGACTCCAGTGCTGGCAAATGCTTCCTGTATGTCTGTGTGAAGGTGCTCAGCGAGGATCTCTGGGTGAGTGGGATTTGCAGCAGTAGGAGCCTTTTAAGCACCTGAGGTCTGATGTGTCTAATCCGATTTTGTTTGTGAACAGGTCAGAGCACAGAGAACATTGAATACATGTGTGTAGTCTGTGCTGAACTCTGGGTCATCCCT